TGTGAAAGTCACACTAGTCTCAATAGTTGCTCATACATTTTCAACAGAAGCAAGAGGCTTGCAAATACCTTTACACTGCTCCAGTTGTAAACTCTGACTCTTTACTCTGTGTTAGTAGAAGAGCTGTGAGCAGCAGAGGAAAGGAAGGAAACTATTGACAGGCTGAAGTTAAACAGAGAGGTTATCAACTTTACCCAAAACACAACAGCAAAAGAAACCACCCAAGCAAAACCTAGAACAGTCCTCTAAAATGAATCAAAGCCTTTAAGAAAAACTTGTGTCTCTGTGGGGTTGTTTATTTGCTTTTTTTAAAAAAAAAACACCAAGACTGCACCCATCACCTTTTGGATCTTAAAAGAGATGCATTTCTGAACTATATTGCCATCAACTAACTGTTATAATAAAAATTAACTGAAAAGGCTGTCTAACAAAATAGAAAAGATTTATTAATTCAACATCATTATGACCACATCAGAATGAGGTGGGGCAGGGGGAAGAAGACAGTTCAGTTCACTCAAAGAAAGAATTGTTTGACATTTAGAAGTAGTTTGTTTTGGGTTTGTTGGGGGTTTTTTTGTTGTTGTTTTTTTTTTTTTTTTTTTACTTCCTCACCAATTCACCAAAACAACCTAGGTGAAGAACTATGCTGTTTCATTTCCTGTAAAAACAGGGACTGTAGAAATACCTGCCTCAAAAAGCTTTCAGCTACTGCTCCCCTCCTCCCCAACAGTACATCTGCCATAGAAGTAAGAGCTTCATTAATAGCATACTGTATAATGAACCACAATTTACCTGATGAAGATTTCCATGTTACAGTTTGGGGAAGAGGATCATCAACTTCTGTGTTTGTACTGCTTCTATCACATTTAATTTACTGAAGAAAAACCCACACTTTTAAGTAGAGTAAGACCATCCTGTTTCCCAGAATACAGCTGTCACTATTTCTGCACTGAAGGTCTTTTTGCTGTCTGTCTTCATGATTCACTGCTTGCTGAACACTAGAAGTTGTTATTCTGTGTTTAATCATAAATTTGAACAACCTCGAGATCGATGTAGGTTAATTAAAGTAAACCAAAACAAATAACACAAAAAAAAAAAAAAACAAAACCCAAACAAAAAAAAAATTCTGCTTGGCCCACTGGGAGGCTTTAACTCTATGACGGCATATGCAATTTCTGCATCAAATTTCTTTTCTGTTCCAAAAGAAAAGCCTGGCAGACTAATAGATAAATTATTTGACAGATAGCCTAAACTAACAGAGATTTCACGGCATGGGGAGGGAGAAGGCAGAAAACCCCCTTAGAAAACTCCCCTGCAGGCTTCAGGAAACAGAAGTTGTGGGAAATGTGGGGGGGGGGGGGGGGGGGAAGCAAGAGGTGAAACAATTGTTCATAAAGAGATGAAAGCCTAATAATTGACTTGACACTGTTTATTAAATCTTGAGTGAGTGCTCTATGCAAAGATTTATTGGAGGGAGAGGGGCTAGAACACAGCTTCACAGAATACAAAACCTGCATAGTTTCTTGTACTAGGTAATCGCACAAACATTTATTTGAAAGCATAAGAGCAGACAAAAGGGTAAGTACTGTATCACCCAAGACCTTTCCTGATTGTTTCAACAGAACTTAAAAAAAAAAAAAAAAAAAGAGAAAAGGCAATCAAAAAAAAAAAAAAAAAATCAATCTTCAATAAACTTCTTTTCCCTCAAAATTACTTTCTATTAATTTCAGCATTTTATTTCCTTTTGGAGTAAACCCCTGAGATAATACAGTAAGCCCTAATGAAAGAAGAGGAATACACCAGTCTGGTTTTCCTGTACCGATTCAATTCCCGGTAAAAAGTGTACAAGTCCAATATTTTTTCTGCAACATCAGAAAATTCCTCCTTATGATGTAAAAGTTAATAAGCTTTAACAAGCATTTATAAAACAGAGTTGGAAGTACCCCAGAAGTTCACATGCATGGGCAAAATAATATGAGCTAGGTGGCCCTTTTCTGAAAAGTCAGGTTTTAACTAATTTTGTAGAACAGAATGTTTAAAAGGAGCTCTTTTCCTGCCCCGTGATTGAAGCAGGAAAAGAAGAAAATCTATGCATTGCTAGATCTAAGTTAGATCAGTCTCAAGAAATTCCCTTTACTTACAGCAACTTCATAACTCCATAACAATAGAAAAATTAAGTCAAAGAGCCCACAAGTGACCGCAATCACACATCTCTTTTTGCAACTAGTTTCAATTTTGAAGCAGACTGCATTAAATCAGCATCTGGAAAGGAAAGGAGGGCTCTACAGCAGAGTTTTAGAAAGCCATATATTCACAAAACAAATTACTTCAAAGCTTGGGAGTTCTGATGAAAAACTACTGCATGCCTAAAACAACAAACATCCTCACAAGTTTGCTCAGAACTCTAAAGCACAGCAGCACACAGAATTTCACCACTCCCTTCTATAGCTACCTGATAGCCAACAAGTGAAATCATGTCCTTCACTTCTCTTTTTTCTCTTCATTTAAGACCAGTACTACATCAACTCTAAACTCTCACTAGCTGGAGAACAGACCTGACAAAGAGAAACCGGGAGCAACACTCCATACACACTTCTCCTACTGCCCATAACGTTTGCTGGGGACTCAGTATCAACTACTGTCTTTTCAAAACTTCGAAAATTATATTAAACAAGCATCAGCAGGGCCTCAACTATATTAACATTTAACGGATCAAATAGATTTATATTTCCTATAATTAAGTCGAAATGATTGAAATTAAGAAAACTTCTAGATGAAAATCAGCAATTTTAAAAGGTTTCTTGTCCTCAGTCCCAAGAACTGCTTTGTTTGGACAGCCGTTCACAAGCAGCAGTATCTCATGTTAGAAACATCTTCAGCGACACACAAGAATTGATGGCTTTCCTGCTTTCTGAAAAGGAATTCTATGCTGCATTTCTGTAACATACAATTTATGAAGATTATTATTTCAAGCAAATGCCTGAAGCTCATCTGAATTATCACCGAGTACGTTAAGCAAAATGCCTTTAGACAAGTGGCAAATGCACTCTTTTGGAAGTGAGCCATTTATAAGGCCTGCTAATAAAGATACAGAAGAGCGGCTGGCAGCAGTAAGGGACTAGAGACAAGAATAAGGATTTAGGTTTCATTCCCCGGGGCATTGCTCGATCAGAAGATTATTTTCCCAGTGCGAGGGGAAGAAGGTTACCGACAATCAAAGGAGCTAAATTTTAACCGCATTCGGTACTTAACCCGACTGTCTTCAAACCGTGGCTTGGGGCTCCTCGTGGGCCCAAGGCGCAATTAAGGCAATTAATAAACGCAAGTCGATCGCGAAGTGGCTTAAACGTCCTAAGCCGAGGGCGCGCGGCTTCCCGGCGGCGCGCTGCCGCTCTCAAACCGAACCGAGCTTGAACCTCCCCGCCAGGCCGAGCCGTTCCCGGAGACCCCGGCAGGGGGGAAGCTCCCACAGACACACACACACACCCCCCCCCAACAGACACACCCCGCCACGCCACCTCCTCCCGCCACGGCCGGTCAGCGGGGACCGGAGCGGCATCACGACCGCCTTCCCGCGGTCTCCCGTCGCGGCACGGGCAAGCGCGGGCTTCGGGATCTCTCTCACCTCTCCCGGCGGCCAGATCCGGCGGCAGCCCGGCGCGACCGATGCGGGCGCGGAGGACCGGGCGGGGGGGGGGGGGGGGTGTGCGGCCGGGACCCCTCCCCTTCCCTGCCGCGGGCTCCGCCTGCCGCGCGCGCCGGACCAACCGCTCCTTCCCTCACGCACGCGCAGCGCGCGCCCGCGCCCAACCCAACGCGCGCGCGAGGCGCCCGGTCGCCGCTTGATCCGCTCATCCGCCGCGGCGGGCGCGAGCGCAGGCGCGCGCACCTCCCCGCCCCCTCCGCCGGGACCGCCCCCCCCCCCGGGGGGGGGGAGCGGGGAGTGCGCCCCCTGGCGGCCGGCGGCCGGCAGCGCCTGGGGCTAGCTGGAGGGGTGTGGTTGGGCTCCCGGTGGCCGAAGGGGGCTGAAGGAAGAAAGGTGGTGTGGTGGGGGGCTGCGGGGAGCGTCACGGCTCCGGGTCGTTCCACAGGGAACAAATCCTGACAGGCAGAACCAAAATGGTGTGTGTGGGGGGGGGGGGGTTAGAGGTATGGAGGGAGGCCTGGCTGTGAGGGAGCTGCTGACGCCCACGGTGCTGGAGCCGTGCTTCTTTCTTTTAAAAGAAAACCCCTTTCCTTGAAGTGGCACTACTCCTTCAAGTAGAATCTGTGAACGGTGTGCAGAGTCCTGGAGAAATTACAGTCATAAGTAACACGGCAGCCTTGTATTAATCGAGTGTGGTTTCAAGTGACCACTTAGGCAGCCGAAAAGTAGTAACAATGGAAACAAAATATGCTCTGAAAATACCCATAAATCAGCAGGAGACATGGTCGCCAATTTACACACCAACAGGAACATTGCTTTGGATTTTTTTTTTTTTTTTCCATCTGAAAGTGTGTCTTCTAGCAGTTCTAAACATGTCCTTGGTAACAGGAAACCACCACGAGCAGCTTAAGTATGCTGCCGTATTTAAAATAAAATCAGCATCTACCTCAGGTTTTCATCACCTGCCAGCTGACATCACTGAAAACAGTTGCAAAATGCTGAATAACTTTTGGAAATGCTGAGCATCTTCTTTCCATGTATTTCAAGGGAAAGTACTGTCAGTACGTTCAGAAAATGTCTGGCACCTTCAGCACTGACCTGCTAACTAATGACGCAGAAAAGTTGTCAAAGGATTAATGTTTCCCACTGAAAATAAGCCTGCTAGCTCAATCTATTTTTCATAGAATTATCTGCTGTGCCTCAATTATGTAGCAGTGTCGCTAGGAGTCCATTTTCTTGGACCAATGTTCCACTCAAAATCTTTTAATTCTGCTCCTTGAATAATCTGAGTTAATTAAAAGGCTGAGTATTTTTTCCTTGGTACTTTTTTCTTTTTAATACTTCTGTAGAAAGATTATGTGTATATTCTTAACTGCAGAAGATTGCTTTTTCTCCCCAGCAATGTTGAAGAATACAGAGAACAACTTTGTTTTCATTATTAGATACAAAGTTTCTTTGTATAAAGCTTTCTATAATTAAGCAATACTTCTCCCCAAAGGAAGGCCCTGAAATGAGCTAATTCACTCCAACAAGGGTTACACACAGGGTCTTTCTCACTATAGAGCTTGAATTCACAAGGCTGGTTCTGGTCTAGCAAATGGACTGAGTCTAGCTTTGGGAAACAGTCCTGCTCATGTGTGCAATTCATGTATTGCCCTATGACAGAGCAATTCTTTTAAAGCTATTTTCTAGGACACTATATTTCACACTTTGAGAGCTCCAGGAAAAATGTGGAGCTCTTCAAGTCATGCTAAACATCCGTGGATGGGTCACAGTTTCATATGAACAAGGAATGTGATATCAGTTGTGGTCAGCTGGGAATTGGTTCACTCAGGGAATATGCCAGGTGAATCCATACCATGCTTTTTGCTTCTTCTGGAGGTCACCGGGAAGCTCCTGTTACTCATTCCTTAGAGTGCTTTCCTAGCTTTATAGAGTTCTTGTCTGTGATATAAGAGGGAGGCTGGCAGCACACCAAAACCAGAAACCATTTATAGAGATCAGGCCTCTGCTCACGTGGCTTAAACTGAATCACATAAATGCTGATGTTTCCATAGGTTGCACAGAGATGATTTATGTCACAGGAACTTTGCGTTAAAGGATCTCTTGTCAGGAAAATGCAGAGAAATGACCATGAAGTATCATGTTTTTAGATTTGGGGATACAGAGCAATAACGACTAGTGGGAGTTTGTACCTCACACCCTAGGGCTGTTAGGTAGAAGAAATACTTAACTGTCACCACAAAAAAATTTTGCCTGCATTGTGTGCATCTATATGCAACAACGGGAGGGCCACAGGTAGTAGGGAAAGAATAACCTGTTTTTCCTGTAGGAATGTCACAGCTACCAACCCCTGTTAATGTGGGGATCAGGAAAAGGGTGTGCAAACTGCTCTGTGAAAGGGGAGAAGCTCTGTTCCATCTTCAAAATAGCTTTTTAATTAGGGAATATTTCCACCCCCTTAAAAATAGCAGCGATTCAGGTAACTTAAGGGTAAACCTCATGTTTGAGGTTGTCAGAGAGCAGCAGGAACAAGAGTCTTCCCTAAGGGGGAAGGTAAGGTAGGAGCAAAAATGGTTAACCTCACTAGCAGGGCAGGGACCTCACCATCCAGGACCCACTCTCACAGCACCTGTACAGGACAGACTTGACAGAGGTCACACTCAGCCAGAAGTCCACAAGGCAGCATCAAGATGAAGAGAGAGATCCAAGGTGAAGATAGGAGCACAATCCTGCAGTCATGGTTAGGATCAGGTCCAGGAAGCACCAAGGCAGAGCCATCGCCATAAGACCAGGCTGAAGCTGAACCAGGAATTCAGTCCACTTATTGAGGCCCAGATCAAGTATTGCTGTGGCACAGACACAGCTGAACTGAAAAACAGTGACACAGCTCAAGTGAGGACTGAAACCCCGGGGCTGAGCTTAAATAGAGCTCCTGGGTCCATAGGTATGTGTAGAAACTGCAGGTGAGGCTCCTCAGAGCCATTAAGGCTTGTTAGTGCACTCAGGACCTACAAAGAGTTCATCTAGTCCCTTTCTTCCTTACAGGATAAAATTTGCAATAATAAATTGAAGCAAGCCTCAGTTCCCTACAGCTGCTCCTTCCTGCCTCAACTCTTGCAAAAGGAAGGGTGAAATGGTGAGCAGAAGAGCTATATGCTGTATGCTAGACATGAGGCTTGTCTGCAGGCAAGAACAACTTCCACTTGGAGCGTGGGAGCTTATGACAGTGCCTGCGTCTCAGGGTTCCTTCCCAAGTTCACATGTGCTCTACTGCATGTTCAGAAAACAAGATAAAGCACTTTAGAGTTGAAGGTGAAAAACAAAAAGCATTTTGTTTTGTGGTTCTGCATATCTTTGTGGACTATGATTAGAGCTGGTAGATGCTATAGGAATTCAAACAAGCTCTGTTCAGAAAAGAAGATAAGAAAATTTGCATTATTCTCAGATAACATACTTGCAGAGTCACTAGAGGATTATTCATTGTAATCCTGCTAGGTGTTATCTTATTATCTAGTGGTAACACATACCACATGGGGCTTTACTGGTAAAGGAAAACAGAAAGACTAAAAGCAACAGCAGAGTCTGAAGTGAGGTGAGAATTCTGCAGTCCTGTCAAAGTAGTCTTCTGTACCCCGGCTTTTTTTTTTGTAGTTGTTGTTTCTCTGAAGTGGATAGTATAGCTTCCTGATACATCTGTAGGCACAAACAGCTCTGAAAATTAAAAAAAAAAAAAAAAAAAAAGAAACCAAACAACAAACCTAGAAACAAACTAGAAATATTATATTAAAAACATTAATATGAAACATACAGCAGTTTTATATTTTTAGGGAAGCTGTCCTTTCCTTGCTCTTCCTGCAAGTTTCAGCTTCCCACATCTCTCAAAGAGAACTGAGGCTTTTGTTCTCAGTTTGAAAAAAAAAAAAAAAAAAAAAAAAAAAAAAAAGTTAAAATTGGGCTCTTAGTTATAATTAACAAAGGTTGGCTATAATTAAAAAGCAGCTGGTTTGGGGAGAACAGCAGAAGTCTTTTTAGCTAAATGTTCACCTAAAATGGATTTAGCCTCTTCTTATGGAAAGAAAACCGGCTTCAGAGGTCCTTCGTTGCCCTCTGTGGGAGAGCCTTTGCACTGCTTGGAGAGCAGTCAGCTCTGCAGTCGCTGAACGTTTCTGGCCTCACTACATGACTCTGTTCTGTTTTGGAGAAATTATCTGCATTGTGACATCAGTAAAATTATAATTTTAATTAAAATTTAAAAGGATTATTATTCGGTTGTAAGTACATTGTTCATGGTAGAGAACAATATTTAGTATTAGCCTTTTTATCATGGAGTTTGGTAATGCATGACTATTTTAGAACAAATGTTTTTAAAGCTTTAAAACTCCTAACATTACTGATAATGGTTCGAGTTTCTAATCTGAAGTAAGCACGGTTGTACTAATTACAATTAAAAATAAGGTGGCAATATTTAAACTTTGATTCTAAAAGCTGCGTCACAGGTATCTGAACTATTTCTAATTTACATTACAGTAATTCTCATTGTCTTCAGTTTGTTCATAGTTCCAAATTCTCACTTTATTGACTTTTGTCCACAGTAATTCATAATTTACTCCAGTCATTCACGGGACTAACATAAAAAAATTTCAAACTTATATTTCACAATTAGATCACATTTTAATTTTGTAAGATGCTAGAACTACTCATTCTGTCACAGGCATTGGCACTCCAGAATGATATTGTGTGTGTTCTTCCTTACCTTAGATCTAAGCTTGTCTCTATGAAATGTGTCAGTCCTGCTCTTCTGCATTATATTTAGTTATTTAGGACATGATGTTACAGGATTTCTAATTCAACTCAGGCATTTTTCAAGTACCAGCATATTTTTATTCTTTTGCATCCCCAGTGTTCAAGTATTCTTAGCCCTGATCTGGTTTGTCATTTTTGCAGTTTTCAGTATGCTCTTGTCTGACAAGTTCTCTTTAAATACCTGCTGTATCAGCTCCTCTGCTGTCTTGGACAAGTTCCTCCTCCCCATGTGTCTCTTTTTAGCCTCCAACTTTCATGTAGAGAACCTCCTATTTCTCATGTACAGCGAACTGATCTTGATAAGATTGTATTTAGCTGTATCAGTGGGATTTTAATCCAATAATCCTGCTGAGGGGAAGTTATTGGCAGCAAGGAGACCTAGTGCACCTCTTTCACCTACCACTTATCTTGCATACCTTTGCAGTCAGTTTTCTCAGAAGTCTTTGTGTTAGTGTTTGGTATTGTGAGGAAATGGATAAAAAAATGCATCCACTCTTGCACTAAAGGGTAAATGTACATAAAGGATATTAAATATTCAAGTCATATAGAATGTCAGCTCTCTCCTGGGTTAGAAATAACCCTTTCCAATAATGAATTTCATAACTCTCCATTATAAGGCGCTCTGCCAATGCTGGATGCATCAGGCTTAAGTGGCACTATCACACTAGCTCTTCCCCAGGTTTGAAACATTTCTTTTTGTTTTGGGAAGTTCAGATTGGCCAGAGTCTTGGAGGGGAGGAGTGGAACAGAGAGGCCAAAGGTGAAAGGCCCCAGTGGGCTTCTTAGCTTACCGTTATATCTGGTTGACAGCAATACTGACCAAAACCCATTCAGATCAAGAATACATAATTGTTAATGAATCCACATCTGATCTTTGCAGTTGAAGAATATTGAGTTGGTTCTGCACCATCACATATAATTGGCAGTTGTTTCTAGCTAGAAATGTAGATAATTCTTCCTGTCCCTAAAAACAGTTAAATGGTTAGTATCATCCCTCATCTAAAAAAGTAAAAATATGAGATACTAACTGCAGAGGGAGAAACACCTAGTCCTTGTAATGCTATCACAGAAAACCAAAGTGAGTTGCCAAACTGAATCACTGTAAGATTGAGATCAAAGTTCTTTTCAGCTCGTTAGCTGATGCTGACAGGATGGGATTTTTGCAGATGCTGCATACGCCTCTGGAGTGTTTGGTCAAAATCAACTCCACTGCTTCTAAGGGTATATTTATGTCAAGACTTTGTGGTGCCAGTCTTTTCCTTGTCCAGGACCTAGAGGTGCATCACAGCAACTGGTCCATCACAACTGGATTTCTTCACAGAACATTTACTGCAGTTATTACTACTGCATTTACCACTTCGTGGTAAAGGTGATGAGCCATGGCTAAAGACAACAAAGCTGGTGGCCAGGACCACACCTGGGGGATTACATGAAAGTAGTCTTCTGCACAGGCTATCCCACCCACCTGCCTGCTGTCACTGATGTGTTCTCTTTTCAGACCGATACTGTGACCAGGGACTCCCATCTGATCCTAACATTTGTCCTTTCAAAGCTTGTCATTAAGCTTCTCACTTATCTGCCACCCCCTGAGTCCAAGTGGTGGGATGTTAGAGTGGAAGGAATATAAGTGGTCCAGCACTTACTCCATACTTTCATGGCTTGTCAAGAGTGTAAGGCAGCAGCTTTTACAGAGATCTGTGGGATTTCTGGAGTACCACTGTGTAACAGGTTTTGGCTGGGAGACAGTTAATTTTCTTCACAGTAGCTCTGATGGTGCTAGGTTTTGGATTTGTGACCAAACCAGTGTTGATAACCCACTCATGTTTTAGCTGTTGCTGAATGGTGCTTACACAGTGTCAAGGTCTTTTTCGTTTCTCAAGCTGCCCTGCCAGCAAGGAGGCTGGGGGTGCACAAGAAGTTGGGAGGGGACACAGCTGGGACAGCTGGCACCAGCTACCCAAAGGGATATTCCATACCATATGACATGATGCTCAGCAATAAAAGTTGGGGAAAGAGGGAGGAAGGGGGGGATGTTTGGAGTGATAGCGTTTGTCTTCCCAAGTAACCATTACCTGTGACAGAGCCCTGCTGTTCTGGAGATGGCTGAGCCTGACGATGGGAAGTGGTGAATGACTTCCTTCTTTTGCTTTGCTCCTGTGTGCACCTTTTGCTTTATCTACTAAACCATCCTTATCTCAACCCACGAGTTTTCTCACTTTTATCCTTATGATTCTTCTCCCCATCCCACTGGAGCAAGTGGCTGTGTGGGGCTGAGCTGCTGACCGGGGCTGACCCATTGGCACAGTTCCTCCACCACATGTCAGTTTTCCAGGAAGGATGGAAGACATGAGCACATTAAGATCAAGTTGCACCAGGTTGAAATTTCTTTTCCAGAACTTCTTGCTTAGATGTTCTTTGTGTTTTCTTTCTCAGTGTGGACTCTTGTACAGAATGGCAGAAAACATACTCAAAGTCATAAGCCTGTCTTCTAAAAGGAGATAACCTACTTGTGATGGGGAGGAAGGCACCTCTATAGCTGTAAAGCTTCTTTCTTGTCCCTTGGCAAGTCTGCAGGCAACATCTGCTGGTGCCTCCATAATGGGCTTTTTATCAAGGCTTGCTTCTCAGTCTCTTTTTGTGATTTTTTTTTGTTCCCTGTGATGATTCTTTCACCCTATTTTTTCAATAGCTGTCTACTATTTTGAATGCAATACCATTCTATGGCCTAAATTTGGACTAAAGCAAGTGTTCTTAACTCAGAGTGAGTCCAGGCTCTTCCATCTCTCAGACCTATTATCAGTTGCTGGCTAAGCAAGCCCATTCACCTAGACCATGACAGCTATGCATATGGTCCGTTTGTGACTAGTTGTTGAGATTAATGCTTTATTTGGAGCAGCAATTGCAGTTGTTCTTTAGCAGACTGCAAATTAAAACTTGTGTCTTGTTGTAAGCCTCCTTCCTGATCACTGATTGCTAGCTTGATTCATACCCTTAATGTGTGTAGTTTCTATGTCTTTATATTGTATGTCCTTAATACATAATCCTCAAAGCACATTCTATTTCCAGACCTCATCTTAATCTTAAGCACGGTTGACCATGTCTCAGTTACTTCATTTTCTTGGTAGATAGCTAAATTCATTTAGCTTGTAAATGCTTGGTCTCTATCCCATTACTGAAAACAAACCTTATATATTCACTGTTCAGGGTGGTTGTCTAGTCAATGCATGGGGGATTTTGTCAAAAAAAGTCTACTGTCACATTTTATTTTCCTCTCACAGACAAGTAATCATTAATTCAGCGCAAAGCACAGGCATCTCTCAGGGTCTTACTAAGATTTTTATTTAGCACTAGGGCAATTGGATTAAGACTTCATCCACCTCTGCAAATGTGTGTTGTGATTGTGTGGTCTCCACCCTGTCAGAAGCTTATGAAACATTTTCTAATCAAGGAAAGGCAACTCAGGCAATTTTCTCTATGTTAGCTCTTGTACTAGACAGCTCCTGTGCTATCTGACACTTTCTGTCATAAAAAAAGCCTGATTCATAGAAAACTATGGAAAAGCAACTCATCCCATGTGTTCTTAGGTCCTTCCCATGTTATGCAATGCTATTTTTCATTTTTCATCACGTTTTTGTTACCTTCTTAATATGTTAAGAAGTATCTTACATCTGGACCTTGACAGGCTGATCTTGCTAAATTGAGAGCTATGCCCTTCATTTTGGTATATGTTTAATAGCTATAAACATCACAAATGAAATATGAGGTGTATACTCATCATTGCCCCAGCTACAGGAAACTTCTCGTCACTCCCCCTGCTGCAACCTTGCAATCTACAAATCTAGTTGGAAGTTCCCTAGTTGGTTCTGCATTTCTGTCTCATTAAATATTTGAACTGCCATTTCCTTCTAGGTTTAAACTATCTGTGTGAGTACAGTTGTCATGAAACTTGCCTGTGAGACACAGTCCAAGAGACCTCAGCCCTTTATTTATTTGCAGAAGAGAATACACATCATCAAGGATGACGGAAATTCTAGAGGCTTGCAAAATGGAAATCACAGTGGCCATCTTTGAAAGGATGGAAGGAGAGAAGATGACAACCAAGGGAATTACACTTAGCTACTTTCCCTGCCTAGAAATAGACAAGGATAAGTTATCTGTGTGTAAGCACTAGAAGATAACAAGTTAATGAGCAACAGTTGGCATTAATAGATCAGAATAAATCATGTCCCGTTACCCTGGTTTTCTCTACCTGAGGAATTTTCTGAATAGGAAGTCAGTGTAATGTGTCCTAAATTAATACCTTGGTAAGTATGAAGATGTAGTCTATACAACACTTATAAGGTTGGGATATAATCTACCTTTATTTCTCTGGTTTGAAAACCAGAAAATTGTCTGTAGTTCCTGTGGATGTTAGGAAAGGACTAAAGGAGACCTGATAGTATCTTTAATTCCTGTGCTGGTTTTGGCTGGTATAGAGTCAGTTTTCTTCCTAGTAGCTGGTACAGTGCTGTGTTTTGGATTTACTATGAGTATAATGTTGATAACACACTGATGTTTTGTTCTTGCCAAGTAGTGCTTCTCCCAAGTCAAGGATGTTTCAGTTTCCCATGCTCTGCCAGCGAGGAGGTGCACAAGAAGCTGGGAGGGAGCACGGCCAGGACAGCTGACCCAAAGTAGCCAGAGGGATATTCCATACCATGGGATGTCATGCACAGTACATAAACTGGGGGGAGTTGACCAGGAGAGGCTGATCGCTGCTTGGGGACTGGCTGGGCATCGGTCAGTGAGTGGTGAGCATTTGGGCTGTCCATCACTTGTCTTTCTTGGGTTTTATTTCTCTCTTTTTGTTATCTTCCTTTTCATTGTTATTATTATTATTTTATATTAATAATTAAAGTGTTCTTATCTCAACCTATGAGTTTTACCTTTTTTTTTTTAATGCTTCTCACCATCCCACCAGGAGGGGAGGAGTGAGAGAACGGCTGTGAACTAATGTGAAAGTTTATTGGTAGTGATAGTTATTCTGGCTTTAGTTTCCTTCTACCTTTAAATTTAAAGTATGGAAAGCAGCAAGCCAAACTGAAGTTAAATTAGTCTTGCACAACTAGCACACTGGGCAGGTGTTGCTGTGAAAAACAGCCTTTTGAACAGGTTAAGAGTCCAGGAGAAGGCCATAAATTGAAAATATTGTTTAGATTGAACAGAGAGTCCTTCCAAAAAGTGCAATGCAGTGAGATTCATAGTTAAATCACGTAACTAGCAGATTAAAACCAAAAA